TATATCTATCAATTACTACAACGTATTGAAAAAATCACATATTGGAGAAGGAATGATGACTGTGATTCCAAATTTACTATGTGTATCTACATGAAATGTGGCAAGGTCCAACCACATATTGGAGAAGGAATGATGACTGTAATTCCAAATTTACTATGTGTATCTACATGAAATGTGGCAAGGTCAAAAAATCTACAGATTACACAAAAAATCAAACGTGTTACAAAAGTATTTGTACTCGATATATGTCTGTGAATTGACGATGTCATTCTGACTCGGACAATTTGAAGTGCAAGGTGATGTTCATATGAACAATAAAAATACTCATAGTTTGTATATTGCACTTGCATAACCTATAGAACCTCCAAAGTGCATGTCTGAAGTTGTTTACAGTAGCCCTGTACATTGTATCTGTTATTTAGTTTGCTCTAGAACCTCCAAAATGCATGTCTGAAGTTGTTTTCAGTAGCCGTATACACTGTATCTGGTATTTAGTTTGCTCTAGATCCTCCAAATTGCATGTCTGAAGTTGTTTTCAGTAGCCCTGTACACTGTAACTGGTATTTAGTTTGCTCAAGAACCTCCAAAGTGCATGTCTGAAGTTGTTTTCAGTAGCCCTGTATCTGGTATTTAGTTTGCCCTAGAACCCCCAAAGGGCATGTCTGAAGCTGTTTTTAGTAGCCCTGTACACTGTATCTGTTATTTGGTTTGCTCTAGAACCTCCAAAGTGCATGTCTGAAGCTGTTTTCAGTAGCCCTGTATACTGTATCTGGTATTTAGTTTGCTCAAGAACCTCCAAAGTGCATGTCTGAAGTTGTTTTTAGTAGCCCTGTACACTGTATTTGTTATTTAGTTTGCTCTAGAACCTCCAAAGTGCATGTCTGAAGTTGTTTTCAGTAGCTCTGTACACTGTATCTGGTATTTAATTTGCTCTAGAACCTCCAAAGTGCATGTCTGAAGTTGTTTTAGTAGCCCTGTACACTGTATCTGTTATTTAGTTTGCCCTAGAACCTCCAAAGTGCATGTCTGAAGTTGTTTTCAGTAGCTCTGTACACTGTATTTGGTATTTGGGTTGCTCTAGAACCTCCAAAGTGCATGTCTGAAGTTGTTTTCAGTAGCCCTCTACAATGTATCTGGTATTTAGTTTGCTCTACCATGAATTGTTGCTTCATCAGCAAAGTAGGGTAAAATGAATATTTCGTAGCTATGATATCAAATACATAATACTGTTTTGAATGGATTTCTGTAACAATTCGTGACATGCACACTTTAGCCCTCACCCATGTACGTAGTGTCTTTCGTAACTAACTTCGTGCTTCTATTTTTATGTATATAGTGAATGTAATTTCCCCAGATAAAGTAGATAGTCTATCAAACTTCCAACAGATACCACATGAATTAAATATCGTTTCATTTGATATCTTATATTCCAGAAAATAGTTAGTTTTTTTTTAACTTTGTTACTAACCCTACATTTACATTTTTACCCGATATACTTGTGTGAAAGAGCGATAAACAAATTAATTTTTGATTTGTGTTTTATTTTGTACCTTTATTTTCAAGTTATGTTTCTGTTACACAGTATTTAGCTGCGTGTAGTATATCACGTAAAGGTATTTAGGATATGTGTAATAATGTATGAATAACAAATTTTGTTTTCATATGAACGTGCAAGTTTCACAAATGTATTAATATGGTTTTTGATTTAATTCTAATATAGCATCGGGGTGGCCCAAAGTTAAACTCGATAAGAGATTATAACGTTAATATTTGGGGTTTGACCCCTGTGTAGGCATAGAGCAAATAGCCCATCGTGCAGCTAAGTGGCTTAAAACAACATCAGTTCTGACACGAGAATCGTGTAAATTGCTGTAGATAAAAAATCTGAAGCATAATTTCAAATGGTTGTTTCCGTGTCAATTAAAAACATTCTTCAAAAGATACTGAAACACTTACTCCACCTACAAATTCAGTACGTCATATTATGAACTGTGTTATTTCTCAATGTACTGAAATCTTAATGCTAGTTAATTTGATTTGTTTAATCACACAAAAAAGTTTTATGCTAATTTATAATATTGTTTTTAAAATATCCGGTATTTTATATAAATATGAATAATATTATTATTTTCTTACTTATGCGATATTTTAAAAAGTCGAAGAGAAACAACAAGTTTCTGACCACTCCGGGTTATTTTTAGGCCTCAAATTTTGTTTGGGATTTGAAAGATTGAAACTTAAATACCTGTAAAGATTTGGTTGATTGGTTAGCGAAAGTAACATTAGATTATTCCTTGATTACACGTTATCAGTGTAACTTTACATTTTGTATGCTCATTCAATGTATCATAATAATTTGGACATTTATCTTTAAAACCTAATTAACCCCCAGATTACCAATTTGTTTTTTATATCGTCACTGCCGGTGATGTCCGTGTATATTGTTACATTATTTCAGTTATAGGGTGCTAAGCCTGATTATACTGAAATGAATTGGGGTTACTCTGTTTGAAATTGGTCTGGTTAGTTTGGTGCGATTTTAATGTTTGTTCATGAATTTTGCGTCCAAGTACTGTTTGTCACCCTAATTTTGAACGGACGTACAAGAGGGAATGAAGTTGGTCAACAGCACTGTTCCTAATTTTGAACTGATAAACAAGAGGGAAGGCAGCTAGTCAACAATACTGCCCCTAATTTTGAACCGATACAAAAGAGGAAAAGCAGCTAGTCAACGGAACTGTTGTGCTACTTTTGTAGAATGAACAGTGGTATTTGACCTTCATTTATTTATGCGGCAGTGGATTGCGAACATTGAATCATCGGATTTACACTCCGGGCGCAAACCACTTTGGTTTAATGTAAATTAGAATGTTGTAACTTCAAAGTAAAATGGTTGTACACATAGGAGTGATTGCAGTAATTAAGAGTTGTGGGATCTTCCAGTGTGACTGTTATCATTTTGTAGGATTTATAGGAAAACTTGTTTGACGAGTTTTTGTGCGTGTTGTTTTACACAAGTTGTAATGGTGAATTAAAAACTAGCCCTCATAGGATTTATAGCGATTCTTGTTTGCTCTTATGGATAAAAAACGATCAGTTCAATTCAATCAAATTGGCAATTTAAATTCAAGACGGTAATTAATTACCTTGTCGAATTCAGAGGAGTTGCATCTTCACCTGTCTCATCGTTCATGAACGAAAGTGTAGAGACAGCCTAGTAGTATAATTAGTATAATTGAACTAATTCAGGAAATATATGCACACATAGATGTAACGTAAGTGTATGTGCTAGGAATATTTATGCTTTACCGTTCATGATTTCAAGTATCTCCAAGTCTTCTTCGGACTCACGTGACTCACGAGTGCAATTACAATTTGTACTATAAGCTCTAAGGCGAGATCACGAGAGGCTCGTGCTGATGTAATTATCTTTAACCACTATCCCTGTTAATTAACGTAGAGGTACGTGAGCTAACGGCCCAGAGGGTTTTGTGTGTTCCGACACCGAAGGAAAATTAAAACTACGTTATAAACTTCGACGGGAATTTATCCAACTCGAAACTCTTTTCGTATAAACAGTTAACAACGAATACGCTTGTTTTTTTTGTGTTTTTTTTTTTTCGACATTTGCAAAATCATACAACGGTATTGGTGCGAAAACAGTGTTCTTTGATTGCAGCTTGTACATGTACCTTTTCATTGTTATATGCCCATTCAATATTTCAGAACACTTACAGGTATTTTAAAACCTATTTCCCATCCCCCCCCCCTCAAATTACAAATTTGTTTTTTATTCCTTTCACTGTGCCGGTGGGGTCCACATATTCATTATATTGAGTATACTTTTGTAACTTCTGCTTGATAAAACAATGACCAAAGCTTTTGGGTGAATTCAGTCAGAGTGTTTGTATCTTTGGTAAATTTCACGTAAACCTGTTCCACGACTATCTACGGTATCTATCCCTAACTTACAGGAGAGGCACCTAGTCAACAC